GTGCCACTGAGCTGCCACTAGCTTTCTTACTGGCGTCATAGGGCAATATGTACAAAAGAGCTGCTTTTCTCAAAGACTGCTTACTTCCCTACAATCAATCAATCAACATTTATTAAGTGCCTACTATGCGCCAGGCACTGCATTAAGTGCTGGGGACACAAAAAAAGACAAAAGATAGTTCCTGCCCTCAAGGAGCTTACAATTTTCTTTGAGGAAGCACTAATTATTAACAATTATCATTATTAATTATTAACATTCATTAATAAACTAGATGCACTGGACTTAAGAGTAATGAAGACCCGAGTTCAAATTCTACTTTATTAGGAAAACATTTACTGGCTTAGTAACTCTGGGCAAGTCCCTTCATCTCTGTTCATTTTAAGATCGATGGCCTCTAAACTGCCCTGAAGTGTCGGTTCTTTGACCTCTGCGGCCTTGAGCAAGTCATGTAACCTCCGAGGCCTCGGTTTCCTTGTCTATAAAGTGAGAGGGTTGGACCAGGTCTCTGAGGGCTCGGCCAGATCTAGAACTATGATCCGAAGCCACTTTTATCTCTCTTGGTCTCAATCTCTTCAACGGCAAAACGAGGGCCAGACGGCCTTTCCCAGAACCATGAGCAACATGAGCCCTTGGAGGACAGCATTGCCCCATCTCTGTGCTATTTCCCTGCATTCGGGCTCTGCTAATATTAACTCAATACAAAACAACCTGAGCTCCTGTGTTTGGTAATTAGCAGCTGAATTTGGCAGGGGGAGAGACGCTAGAGTCCCTTGCTCTAACTTCTAACGTGCAGTTAATGAGAGGCCCTGGCAGCAGGCGGCCCCACCACCTTCTGTGTGCCTGCTTCCCTGCAGAAAGGCCCAACGAGACAAACAGCGGGCCAATGGGTGAAGACTCTGACTTTGTAAAAGCAGCCAATCAGAAGGGGGGAGATTCCCCTTCCGCATCCGCTTCACGGCATTTATTTTTAGACCACGGCAGAGGCAAGGGCGTGGCATCCCTTCTATGGACACCAAAAGGTCCCAGGGGAATGGAGCATGAAGAGTAATCATGACATTTCCCTCTCCTCCAATAAAATGTAAGCTCCCAGAGGGCAGGCTCTGTCTTGTCTCTGTATCTGCAGGGTTGAATGCCTGGTATGCAGTGAGTGCCTAATAAATGTTGACTGATGGCTTGACTGGGGAAAAAAAAATTACCACGAAGTGGGTTAGAGACACATCATAGCACAGTGGATAGAGGGCTGAACTTGGGAGTCAAGACCTGAGTTCAAATTCTGCCTTAAACATATACCAGTTGTAGAATCTTGGACAAACTATTTAACCTCTGATCTGTGAAATGGGGGTGATAATAATAGCACTCGTTTCCCAGGGCTGTTGTGAGGATTAGATTAGGCTGCTGTCGTTCAGTCGTTTCTGCCATGTCCGACGCTCCACGACCCCATTTGGGGTTTCCTTGGCAAAGATACTGGAGTGGTTTGTCATTTTTTCCTTCTCCGGCTCATTTGACAGATGAGGAAACTGAGGCAAACAGACTTGCCCAGGGTCATACAGCTAGTAAGTGTCTGAGGCAGGATTTGGACCCTCTCTAGGCCAGATGTTCTATGCACTATGGCACCACTGAGCCACCCTATTAAATTAGGTAACATGTAGAACGCTTTGGAAACCTTAGAGCCTTATAAATGTGAGCTATTATCAGGTTGGGTAAGTTTTCTTACCCCCATTTCATAGAAGAGAAAGTTGAGACCTAGAAAGAAACCATTGTTTCTCTTACCTTATCTAAGATTGCTTTAGTAGAAGAGGTTGTATTTAAACCTAATTCTTTTCATTAATGTATACTGCCTCCCCATTAGAAGCGCAACGGGTCCTGGGTGCGATGGGAGGTTAGGGAGGACATAGGACTTGCTCTCTCAGGAGCGGTGACCCTATTTGTAGTCTTGGAGAACTCAAATGGTTTAGTGGGGAAAGTATTGGTTCTGGTTCTATTAAGCACCTACTGTGTGCAGGTACTGTGCTAAGTGTTGGGAACACAAAGAGAGGCAAAAACTGGTCCCTGTTCTCAAGGAGCTCATGGTCTAATGGGGGAAACAACATGCAGCTATGTGCAAACAAGAAATAGAGATGGGATAAAAAAGGGTATACTCAGAGGGAAGGTACAAGGAGGACCTGGGTTCAAATCCTGACCAGAATACATCCGAGTTGTATGACCGTGAGTAAGCCAGTTAAGGTCCCTAGGCCCCCATTTCTCAGTCTATAAAACAAGGGGCCTCTGATGTCTCTTTCAGCTCTAGAACTGGAGTCCCAAGCGCCTTCACCTCTCTGGGCCTCAGTTTCCTCCTCTGTAAATCAAGGGTATTGGACAAGATGACCTTCAAGGTCTCTTCGAGCTCTAGAGCAAAGACCCCACGGACAAGAGTGGGGGAAAGGGCATAGACGTTCCACCTCATTCTGCCTTTCTTGGTTCCAACAAATGCCGTTGAGAGACAAGCGTGGTGAAAACACACTTCTCCTGAAGTCATCCTAGCTGCCTCCAATCCCCTTGAACATCCACAGTCGATGACTGGAGCGCGGCAGGATATAGTCACTCCTGCTTCCACAACACATTATATCCCACCTTGAAAGTCAAAATAGAACTGAAAAAGCTAGGTTCTTCATGACACTCAGCACACCTTCCTCATCTAACCACTCACATGACGACGACTAATCAGTGCCTCAGCACACAACTGAGAAAGAAGGTGAAGATGTTACCTGAGCACTCCCAAAGTCAATGTCCAAGTGTGCCTTGATTAAGAGAAACATAACACCACGTTTGCAAACATACTGGGGAAGGTGGCCCTGGGAACTAATTACAAAATGTGAGCTCGCGCAGAATTCCTGCAAAATCCTCTGGTTTCCCTTTAACAGGAGAGAGGCAGACCTTGGCTGAGTCAGTCATGCTAAGGATTCAGAGACGACTTCTAGCAATCTGTGCTCCCGGGTTTCTCTCTCCCTAAGCTGCGTGAATATCTAACTCATCATGATTCTTGAAGGCAAGAAGAAAGAATCCCAGACACTGGGCTTCATGAAGTCATTTCGATCATTCGAAACATGAGCATCTCTTGTCCAAAAGAAGCACAAACAGAATCCAGACTGCTGGATTGGATACCTTCAGAATCCAGTCACGCCAGCAGAACCTTTCATCAGTTTCGAGGTAAGGAATGAGTCACAAAAGCACTCAGTGGCTAAGATGTCTTTCAGGCCAGCAGAATTAGTCACTGTTAATTTGAGTTAAATTGATAGGGCCCCAGGAAATGTTCATTAATTAGTATCTTAAATAGAGAGCCTGCAATGTACCCTGAAAGAATAAAAAGCAGATTAGGAAGTCTTTCACTTCACTAAATGCCATGTTGTTTGGAATCAAATTTGACCTCATCTATAAAATGGAAGCCAACTTCTGGATCTTGTTTTATGGCAAATACTTGCAGACTCATTCTACGTGTAAGTTGGTGAAAGAGAAGTGGATATGGGGAAGAGAAGAGGGGAAGATGGGTCAGATAATTTTCAGGCTATTTTAAAAATGCCTGTTTTAATTAGTGTGAAATAATTTCTTTCCCTCCACCCATAGATGCTGCTGCTGTCTTTTTTCCTGGACGTATGTGGCTAGAAGGACGAAAGGTCACCAGCCTTAATAAATGCAGCTCTCCTGTAGGCTAGCTGTGGCTTTGTCTCCCTACCTTATTAGCAGTAGCACAGGGCCCCGTGGATTTACTGATGGAGTGGGGAGGATCTACATGAACTATATGAAGCTGATGCTACGATTCCATTGTCAGCCAGACTGAAGTTCTCAGCTCTCTTCCTGGTGATGGGAAGGGGTTGCATGGAATATGGTGGGGGGTCAATCCCCCCGTTGACAACTGGCACAATCATGACATCATGGATTACAAGATCAGAGAGCTAGAGAGGCCCTCATCAGAGGCCACCTAGGACAACCCTCTCTTTTTCCAGATGAGGAAACATTCCAAGAGAGGTAACAACTGTGGTCTAACCGGGGAAGACAATGTGCAACTATGTACAAACAAGACATAGAATTAAGCAAGAGTAACTTGTTTCTATGTGACAGGGGAAGGATTTGACTCTGACTCCAGAATCAGTAGGGTTGTTTTTTTTGTTGTTGTATCATCAGATACTTAAAAAAAACAAGTTGACTCTTCCATAAACTATGCTGTTCTTAAGGCTTTGCCCAACTATCTTCAACCACCGGCTCCAGGTGTTATCAGTGCTCCCACGTCCCTATCTTTCAACAGAAAATGATGTGCTTGGTGGCATTCTTTCCCATTTCTTAACTTTGTGCTTATAAAGTGGTTAATATGCATTGTCTCATTTGATATTCACAATCTTCCAGTGAAGATAATAAATATATTTTACAAGGAAGGAAACTGAGGCTCAGAGAGAAGTAGCATCCCTCCCTACCTCCCATCGACCACCAAGGTCACCCAACTGAGAAGCAGTGAGACAAGTACTCAAATCTAAGGCTGGCCCTCTTCCACCCAAACACCCTCACCCACACCCACACTCACCCCCGACCCTTGCTGCACTGCTGTAAAGACATGACCGGGTTTCCCTTTAAATATTTTTGGGTGGGTGGGGTGCTGGCATGGGCAGGTCTCTGTAAGTGGCATCAACGAGGTGGAGGAGGCCGTCATTATTCTGATGGAATGTCAACATGATTTAATATTTCAAAAGAATTATGCCATCACACGTGTCTGATAAGCCCCCTTAGAATCAAGGGAATTGAGCTCTCTTTCTTGTAGGAGACCCAAAGGAGGCAGCCATCTTCCGTGGGAAAACTGCCAAGCCCGCTTAGGTTCCAGGGTCAGGCCACACGGCACAAATGTGGGTCGCTGCACAAGAGAGTCAAACTTTCTCTTTCGGCAGTTTTCCAGCCTTTATGAGTCACTTTTCAGAGGTTAAGAGACGCATCTATAAAAAATATAATCAAAAGAAAACTAGTGTTCCAAGCATTCCAAAAAGAATATTTTATTAAGCTCAGTTCCTGGGATGAAGGCATTTTAAAAATAACCATGATGACCTTCAAAAAAAACAAGCCCTGGGGACTGTGGGAGCTCTCTGCTGGGGCAGAAATGAACCTCAAGATTCATGTGAACAGCAGTAGCTCTAAGAATGAAGGGAAGACAGGGGCCCACTTTACACATGGCTATAAGATGCCTGGAAATTTATTGTTTGCATAAAAAGCAAATTGTCCTCCTGGTTTTGGAATCTGGCTGGGAGAAATACTCCAATGCAATCACATTGCAATTACCCCTGATGCAGAGAGGCTTTCATTCTAATCCATCCATGGATTAGCTCTTTAGGAAGTGGCGTGGAAACAGAAAGACACAGAATGCAAAGTAGATTTTGACCGAAGACCAATCCCATTTCACAAGGGGCTGGCACAGAGTCAGAAAAGTAAAGAGCTAACTGTGAAGCAGTAAAACCACTTCCATTCATGGCAAATTGGATGGTTTTTGGGAACTACTCTTCTAAAAGAGCAGTGATCTGAACTCCAGGAGGGCAAGTGTCCAATGAGGGCAATGAGTCTGGATGCTGAGAAGGGCATCACCGCTCAGGGTGAGCAGGCAGTGAGACCCGGCCCATGCCAGCTCATCCCTTAACACCAGGTGGGCACCAGACATGATAATCATGCTCACTGCCCTTTGAGTCAAAGTCCACCGATGGCAGTTCTGATCCGCTGGTCATTTCCCTACTTAGATCTAGAAGAGGCAAAACCCTGGGTCCTAGAATGAAACCCTAGCCTGAGTTCCATGCTCTTTCTTTTTCCAATGCAGGGCTTCTCCCCAGAATTCTGATTTTCTACTATTCTCCGCATGAAAATTCATTTGAGTTCTGTGTCCTTGTGATCACACAGTTAGTTAGGACTAGTCAGTTCTGGGGCCATTATGGTCCCAGCTTCCATCTCCCAACGAAGCCTGAGTCTCAACAGCCAGAGATGTCCTTGGATTTGTTCTTCCTCTGGAATCGTGTGTCCTTGGGATCAAAACCTCGCTCACTGGCCCCAAAGACTGCCCAAGGGGGAGTCCTGGCCACGTAATCCTTGGCGCTGAAGGTCTTTGACCCACGGCTGGTCTCATACTCGTGGATGAGGTCCTGGAATCGGTCATAATCAATCCAAGTCCACCATTCCCCATCAATCTTGAACTGTAAAGAGAAAGTAGAGTTGTTATATTAGTGGTTAAGGGTGATTACAACAGCATAAAACACAAGTCAGAGAGAGTGAAGCAGAAATGTTTTTCTTAAAGAAATTCCTAAAGCAGATCACCAAGCAACAGCCTGATCTTTTCTCTAAAACATGTCTTAGGAAGGTTAAAAAAAATCCCTCCATGCTCTAAGGACTAGTTCAGTCTCACAGCAGATTGCATTACAGTCAAAGGAGAGGAGGAGAGAGGAAGGGAGGGGGAGAGAGGGGGAGAGAGGAGGAGGGGGAAAGAGGGGGAGGAGAGGGAGAGAAGGGGAAGAGAGAAGAGGGAGAATGGAGGGAGAGAAAGGGGGAGAGGGAAGAGAAGGAAGATGGGGAGAGGGTAAGGCAGGAGAGGGAGAGGAGAGTGAGAGAAGGAGACGGGGAGAGGGAGAGAGATTTATAGAGAGACTCTATAGATGGATATATATAGATGGATAGGTACATTCACAGACATACAGATATATAGATATTCCAACAAGATCCTCAGAATGTGAAGGGGCCAGAGAGGCAATCTAATCCTGCCTTCATCTGGAAAAAAACAGTAATTCCCTCTCCAACATACGTGGCATGTACCATCTCACAAAGTCTCAAAAAGACCCATGAAATCAAATGTACCTCCTTGCATTAATATCTTCAATTCACCTTAAAAAATTGCCCATATCAGAGTGTTTGTGTATAAATATTTAAAGTCATGAGATGGGAGAGGAAGCACTGTGTTTGAGGAACAGAGGAAAAAGCCAGTTTGGCTGGAGCATAGAGTGGGGGGGAGGGTGAGTAATGCTAGGAAAGGGCCAGGCAGGGAAGCATTTTAAATGCCAAGCGACGCATATTTGGTCCTCGAGGCAGCAGAGAAACACGAGTTTACTGCCACGGTCTGATGGGTGTTTTAGGCAAATTACTTGGGCAGTTTGTGGAAGACAAAAGGGAGATCAAGCAAGAGGCTTATTCCAGGGGTCTGGGAGGAAGGGCAGGAGAACCTGAATGAGGCTGGGGCCAATGGGAAGGGGCCAGATGCCCGGATGTGATGGAGGCAGAAGCAGCAAGATCCAGAAAGGACGCAGACATGTAGGATGAGTGAAAGTGTGTGGTTGGGGGTGGGGGAGGTAGGGGGGAGATGGGGGGAGAGAAGATAACGAGGTCTGTTTTGGATATGCTGAGTTTAAATTTTCCAATGGCAGTCGGTGATATGGGATTGGAAACAAGGAAAGAGATGAGGGCTAATATACCTAGGTCCCTCGGAGCCATCTGCACAGAGACAATAATGAACCTGACAGTAACTGATGAAGTCAAGGAGAGAGCCTTCAGAGAAAGAAGAGAATGGGGCCCGAGACAGAGGCTGGGGGAACAACCACAATCAGTGGGCTGGGTGTGGATGCTGACTCAACAAAAGAGATGAAGATCGAGCAATCCGAAAGGCAGGAGGAGAGCAGAGCCATGAAAACCCAGAGAGGAGACAGGATCCAGAATGAGAGTCACCAGCAGCAGATGCTTAGGAGAGGCCAAGAAGGGGAAAGACTGGGAAAAGGCTGTTGGACTTAGAGATTAAGAGGTCATCGGTAACTCTGTAAAGAGGAGTGTCAGGCAAGTGATGAGACTGCAAAGGGTCAAAATCGGCTAAAAGCCCGCTTTAGTTGCTGTGAAATCCCTGGGTCAACAATGTCTATGTTCTGAGGAAACCCCAGGCTCAAGTCTCCCCCCTCCCCTTGCGCAGGCTCCACTTAGCTGCCAAAGTGACCTTCCTAAAGCACAGGGCTGACCGGGCACCCACCCACCCAAGGGGCTCCCTACCACCTCCAGGAGCAAATAGGAAATCCTTCCCCACCTGCCCTTTCCATCTCTTCAATCTTCTTCTCCTTAACCTCCCTCCACACACTCCACATACTTGCATGGTGTCTTCCCCATTAGAAGGGGAGCCCCTTGAGGGCAGGGACCTTTCATTGTATCCTCTTAGCTTAGGCCAGTGCCTGGCACATAGGAAGCTCTTAATACGTGATTGCCTGCCTGATACCATCTCATACCATTACTATGAAGCTTGGGTAACTCCTATGATTCAGCCTGGAAGGAAAGTCATTTGATTTGTACCGTTTCACCAGTAATACTTATTTCATCAATAAAACATGCACACAACTTTGGGAGGCAATATATATAAGTATTAATAACCACATTATTTTAGACAAAGATCCTGAGGCTCAGAGCAATTCAGTGATTTGCTCAGGGTCACAGCCAGTAAATATGAGAATAAGGATTGGAAGCTCAGTCTTCTAAGCCTCCAAGTTCTACTCTCTCCACTGGAATACCAGAGTACCCCAAAGTCCAGCCCTTTTCTTCCACGTGTGTGTGGGGGGAAGGGGGTGGGGAATCAGTTCAACATAGTGACCAGGAGGCTAGGCAATGTGCCTGTGACCACTCAACTAACAGCAATTAGAGCCAGGACCTGATTTCCCAGTTTTCTAACTTCTCTGATGTAAATAATCACGTCTTAAATGTTCTAGCCAAGAAAAATGTAAAATATACACACTCTTGGCTGCTTAGAAAAATGAAAAAGCCTGCACTGCAAAATTTGACTTTTTGCTGAATGACCAAAAAAAGCTTTGTGGGTTAAGGTGGAAATGGATGCAAAATTTTAATTATTCTACCCAGATGAGCATCCGCCTCATACGGTGGTGCTTTGGAATGGTGGTGCAAGTGCCCCATGTTAGAGGGGAAATAGAACACAAGGAATCAAGAAGAAGCCACTAATCTCCTAGATTATTATTATTGTTATTATTATTATCATTATTATTATTATTTCTGCTGCTGCTTATTCCTCTTCCTCCTTTTCCTTCTCATCATCATCATCAAATAAGGTATAAACCTATTATTTTACTGATACAGGCAACTCCCAAATTAGGAAATTCTCTCTGCCAATGCGCAGGGGAGGGGAGAGGACAAGAGAAGAAAAGGGAGAAGGGAGAGGTGGGAGAGGGAAGAAGGAAGAGGGGAGAGGCGGGAGAGGGGAGAAGGGACAGAGGGGGCAAAGGGGAGAAGGGAGACGGAGGAGAGGGGAGGAGAGGAGACAGGAGTCATCCATTGAATTTCACATTTTTTTAATAACATGTAACCTATTCTCTTGTATATGTATAATACACAAGTTTATGATGCATAACCTCTTTCCTAGACCGTTAAGTTCCATGAAGACAGGGACCATATCTTATTTTAGTCTCTACATATTTCCCAGAACCTTGCTCAGTGCTTGGAGACAGCAAAGAGCCTCCTCCTACTGGGTTAGAGGCCCTTGTAATCAGAAATAAGGCTGCTCAAAATAAGTAGCAGTCACACAAATGATAGTGGACATCACATGTATGAACAAGATCCCTATGGTTGACTGTAGAAGAAATATAAGACGGTGAATGCAGGACTCTGTATTAAGCCAAACGTTGTGAAATCATAGAAAAATGCTATGAAAAAATGTCATAAAGCTTTGGCCAAGTAGTAACATGTTCAAGATGTGTGTGTGTGTGTGTGTGTGTGTGTGTGTGTGTCTGTCTGTCTGTCTGTCTGTCTGTCTGTCTAGATCTACAGGCATGCACCTGTGCAGCTGGGATATTTGCTCCTCCTCCATTTTGATAACTGAGGAAGTGATGTGTGTTGGCCCAAAAGGACCCACATGGTGACGGGAAGCTCTGGTAGCTGGGCAAGACTGAAGAAGGCAGAGAAAAGGGCCTGAGGGGCACAGAGGAGTGTCAACCAGAAAGAAGAGAAGGGCTCAGTCCACTTTATGCCTCCCTCTGGCACTGGGGAGAAGTTCCCAAAAGACTGAAAGACTCTTCAGACATTGGCCTCAGTCTGAGAAATTGGGATTTGGGATGGCGGTGCTACAGGAGGGGAAGAGAGTGAGAGTAGGGGAGTGAGGAGAAGAGTGCAGGCAGGACAGAGATGGGAAGAGAGGGAGAGAAGAAAAGGAAGAGAGTATTACCTTCCCCCACACACACTTAAGGGGACAGGTAGGCAAGCTATCAGGGAAGAGCTGCCACCAGGGAAGGCATCATACTTGGGCTTGAGACTCTGGGGGTTTACTGAATATACAGGAATGATAGCTGCTCATTCTAGGATTTCTATTTTGTCTCCCCCCTTTTAAAAACTTTTATACTACTATGTGTGACCCACAGACATGTAAGGTTGGTCTCCTCTTCTAATGAGCAGGTACGTATTTTCCCAGGTTTGGGGGGCTGGGACTGTTAGCCAAAAGAATGAGAAAAAAATCCCCCCCCAAATGCTGCTGGGCCTTTTCTGTCATAGAACAGTTCCTGACACAAGCGTTCTATATACTTACACACCCAGAGCAAACAGCCATACAATTATGCTCATAATCATCAGTTATAAAATTTGGAAGCAAACCGCTGATGCCTACAAAATATCATAATTGCAACATTTATAAGAAAATGGAACAAGTGTTTTGGCAAAAATAAGCAAATATTAGGAATAATAAGATCAAGGAGAGAGGATGACATTTCTTAGCTAAGTCAGAGAAAGACAAATGAAAGAATATCACTACCCAGAAGGAGAAACACGCGTCTACTGTTTGTTTTCTGAGTGTTTCATTTTCTGCTCGATTGTGTGCTGGCTGCCAGGGAAGCTAAGCTTGTGATTCTCTGATGAAAACGTCCCAGAGCCCTAGGGAAGCGTGGGACCCTTGGGCTCTGGAGAGCAGGCTGAGAAAACCCCAACTAGAGAGTCTTTGTGGGGATGGACAAGGGACAGAAGGAAGAACCACCGGAGGACTGGAGAAAGAGTGACCCGAGAGACAACCATGCCCAAGAGGCAACAGGACGGAGAGTTTCAGGCGGGGAGGTGTGACCTGCACTCACAAGACAACAATAACAACAGCCACCACAACAGTAATGATGGTGACAGCCAGCATTACTACAGGGCTTGAAGGCTGGCAAAACTCTACACGTGTGTTACTCCTCTGATCCTCATG